AAATAAATGCATATAACAGCAAAGACTGTGTTTGAAACTATTTCCGGGATGGCGAACTGTGGCCGACTCCCACCCACCGTATAGTTCATACATATTACAATAATTACTAGTATCTTATTGAAATTATCTGTTGGTTGAAGTCAATGGATTTTCTGAAATACTGATACCAAAGGTACAATTGCAGAAACTATCAGTAAATACAAATAGTACATTTATAAACAAAATACAACAACCTAGCGAGCACCTCTGCTTGTGTAAACACTAGATATGTTATCTACTTAAGGATTATAAATAATTAATATTATTTTTTGCCTTTGTATTACATAATACGTGTCGCATTATTTTTTTGTAATTCAACTATTCTATTGTTTTACTAAAATAAAATGTGAACAAGTTTTCTCTTCTAGTTCCCTTCTATTGATGATTCCACATACATTTCAAGCATGCCCACGTATAATTTTATTTTTCCAAACATGGACAAATAATTGCTAAGAATTTAGAATAGTTGATATCGTTACAAAAAGAACATATCTAATTGAGATTAACCCAAGATACCTACATAACATGTATCAAATGAATTGAGCTGGTAGTTTTCAAGAAGTCGTCGGAAATAGCAGTTTTGACATAAATGACCCAAAACATTAAAAAAAATACAATATTCACACAAAATCTGAGAGAGACCCATTCAAGGTAGTAGTATGTTGAACATCAAAACACTCAGGCTACTGGTTTTGAAGACGAAGATGCAAATGCAATTGTTGACGGACGAACGACAGTTAATCAATGATAATATCAGCTCCGTTGCTGTGTCATCTTCGATGGCAGCGGAGCTAAAAATTATTAGTATTCAAGTCGCAAATACAAAACTTGTTATAATGTATGGTTATTTCGTCAATAACATAATGAAATTAAACAATTGTTAAGTTTAATAGCTAATCCTTACAACAGACAATGATGATCATTGTTTCGCCTCGTATATTATATTTCTATATATTATTATTATTATTA